AGGAGGAAGTGCTGCTGTTCAGCTTGGGAATGCCAGGGATGAGAAGTCTGAGAGTGACACTCTGGATAAATCGGCAGCCAAATAACATTGTAACATTATGTTATAGCCACATATGTAGAACCATGTTGTCGGCATGTTAATGCCCTCCTCTACACATGTGCCCCCGAACGCAGTTGTGACCACACCACAATACTGAACCAAGGTGACACACACACCACTGCATGACTCACACTTTAAAAGCAGAACAATGCATGCTCCCGAAACTCTTACAGCACCCCAACCCCCTCCTATTCCCAGAGCTCCTACTAGATCCTCTGGTAGTACCGTGGAAGAACCGCGTTCCACGGAGGGTGACGGTACCCACTGTGTGGGTTGAACTCCGTAGCATACACAAACTGCCGCGCCGTGTGGCGTGAAATCATGCCAGCCCCCTCGCAAGTCCTAAGCCCTGTCATAGTGCCTCAATCGGAACAGCAGCACCTTCCCCCGCCGGTTCCCCACAGCCAGGTACCCACTGTGCGGGCTGAACTCCACCGCGTGCACAAACTGCAGTGCTGTGCGTTCAGTGGGCCAGTTGAAGAACACGGAGCGCGACGGCACGTGCACCAGGCGCAGCGAGTCGCGCTGCTCGCGGGAGGAAAGAGCGAGGATGCGGCCGTCGTGGTTGAACGAGAGCGCGTCTATTTCAGTCGTTAAATTCATGAACGCCCGTTGCAGCGGCTTCTCGTTGTCCCGGCTCAAGCCTCCCGTTCCCAATGCTGCTTCTGATGATGATATGCTTCCAAAGGGTCCTGAGCGGAGGAAGGCCGGGCGGTCATACAGATTCACCACTCCAGAGTCGGATCCAGCCGCGAAGTGCCGCCCGTCTGGGGACGCTGCAATGGCGGTGCCCTTCACACACCCGTCGTCTGCCCGCCGGTGAATGCAGCGCATCATGCGCAGATCAAAGTGGTACACCTCCCCGTCACTCCCCGTCGCCAGCATCTGATGCTCCCCTGTCAGGGCTTGCCCGCTCGGACTATCGGACCCGTCAGCACCGGCGGCAGCGTCGGAGGGAACGGGAGGTGCGAAGCAGACGGAGGAGACGGAGCCGTTGAGTTTCAGGTTGCCCATCCACTGGCGGGACTTGAGTGACACGAGCACAATAAACCCGTCGCGAGACAGGAACGCCGCCTTGCCTCCATCCGGGGACAGGGCGAAGCGCGTCAGCGGCGGGTCGCGCTTTGGCCGCCCGATTATCCCATCCACGCGGGCGACTCGCCCCGCGCCGATATCATACACATGGTACCCGTTGAACGCTTCGCCCGTGGCGTAACCGCGATTCGCGTTACGACCGTTACGCCCCGCTACAACCACCTGGGTGCCGTCAGCAGTGAAAGCAGCGGTGCGCACGAGCACATTTTCAAAGTAGATGGACTGCAACTCGGGGTTCTCCTCGCCGTCCACGTGGACGAATCTCACCCGTCCATCTATGCTCCCGCACAGCAGCAGCTGCCCGTTCGGGTGCCAGCTCAGCGACTGGATCGCGCGGGACGGCGCGACGGGAGTGATGGCGCTGGCGCCAGTGGGGGCCTGCCAGTTGGCGTCGCGCACGCGGGAGATTCGGATTCGCCCGGGCGGCAGGCGGTGGGTGGTGCGCTGGCTGGCTCGGTCCTTGCTCTGGCCGGCAAGCATTGGCATGTTGCGCAGAATCTCATCGGCATCAAATCCGTCCTGATCCTCCTCTCCTTCACTCTCTCCCTCCTCATCCTCGTCCTCACCCAACCCCATGGCAGCTCTCTCCTGCTCTAGATCGCTGAATACCCCCCTTGCTTCCCCATCTGATAACTCCCCTGCATCCGCCTCCTCCTCCTCCTCGCTCTCAGCATCCTCGTTAGAACGCTTCTCTTTAACAGCATCGCCCCGCTTCTCCTTTCTCGTAACCGGCTTTTCCTTCTTCTCTTTCTTCTCCTTCTGCTGCTTCCCTAACCCTACCTTGGCCCACCTCGTTCCCGGGTTCAACCTAACGTGTTGCGCACGCAACCGCTGCTGGTACTCCACCCCCGATACAGCAACCTCGTCCTCCTCCTTCCGCAGCTTCCTCAGCCGATTCTGCCCCGCTATAGTCACAACCAGCGTCTCGTCCTCCTCGTCCACCCACGCGGGTTTCTCCGCTTCCGCCTCTAAACCCTTCCCCTTGCGCTTCTTTCCCTTTGAACCCTTCCGCCAGTCCTCCTCCTCCACTCGCTGCTTCTTGCGGTCGATAAACCCCAACAGAACCTCGCCCCCTGCCAAACCCTCCGCATTCCCGCCTTCTCCGCCGGGTTCTCCGCCGAAATGCGCGGTGATCAGATCCTCGCTGCTCGGCGGAAGGTCCGCGGCAGCTTCACTGTCCACCGCTCCCGCTGCCAGCTCATTTCCAAGGTCTGCCACGTAATCGCTTGATTTACCGAACAAAATGCTCTCTAGCTCCTTCGCCTTCTCCGCGTCGTCCGCCGCCCTTGCCGCTCGCTCCTGCTTCTGCCGCTTGCCAGCGACGCGCGGAGCCATTGCGACGTGCGTTGATCGAGTAGCAGCAATTATGAGAAAGAAAGCTTAATTGCTGGTGGGGCTGGTACGCATGCTTGGTTCCGTGCCACAAACAACTCGAGTGTTTTTGAGGTGGTTCCAGGAGATAGTGGGAGACTCTCGCTCGGATGTAGACCGCGCAAAACCGAGCTGAACCAGTTTTTCTGACGATAAAAAAGAGCTACGATCGCCATATCACGGATAAAAGGGCACAGTATGAAAGGGGATATGCGTTCAGGCAACACAAAAAAATGGATTTTGTTATTGATACTTGAAATGTACTGAAGAGCTGACTGTGAGGCTTGGGCAATTACTTGCAGCGCTGCAGATATTTTGGGTTGACGTGGAATGCAGGATTATGTACATGCATGCAAGAAACTGTGAGTAACAAAACAATGGGCAATTAACGACCATCGATTAGTGATGTGAACCCCCTTATGGGTTACATGTGTTCGTTTGGCTGGGTAGCTGTAAATTCTTTGCACCTTTGGCTGGGTCTGGCTGATTCTTTGGTTGGGTTCGGTGTGTGGCGTGCCCATGTGACTGAACATGTCTTGTTGGATGATGGGATTGGATGTTTTCTCTGGATGGGTCAGGGAGTCATTCTTTTGGGTTATAGAGCGTTTAAGTGAAGCCCATATGAATCAAGTGGGTGAAGCTAATCGTATGGGCATTTATAGAGCGAGTCTGCTGTATTGGTTGCGGGGGATTGTTGGCTTGGCTACCTCTGTGCTGCATCAGTTGGGTATGTGCTGTGCGGGCGTCACATCACCCTGGTATGGTGCATCTGCAACCTAGCTAAGGTGTAGCATATCTGTTTGCTTCTTCTTTTGTGCGATTCTGCCTTCTTGGATGGGCTGGGGTGGGCCTACCATACCTTACCATACCATAACTCACTCACCATACCTTTCACATCTTATAATACCGTACTACCTTACCGCACCTCTGCATGGCTTACAGTACCCTAACGCACCTCGCCATGGCTTACAGTACCTTACCACACCTCACCATGGCTTACAGTACCTTACCACACCTCACCATGGCTTACAGTACTCACAAGACCTTACCATACATCACCTTGCACTGTTCTCATGCACTCTCAAAACATAAAACTACATACGCCTCACTCCTACTGCTACTGCTGTTGTCAATGTTCCCTGTTGCCTAACCTGTGAACGGAAAACAGAGGATGAAGAAAGGACTAAAATCAGTGGGGAGGTATACCACTGGGGGGATTGGGACACAAATCTTCAAGCAGCATGCTTTGCAAACGTCATAAGCATTCAAAAGGATACGTCAACGGGGAAAATAGTGTTGACGGAAGATACCGAAATGCAACAGGACAGAGATCGAAAACCAGCCGATGTGGAAGCAGGAACATAACGCAGAAGAGCAGAGGGGCATAGAAATAAAGAGAGGGGCATCAAGGAAAAGCGAGGAACCTGGAAAACAAGGGGTAACTAGCAAAAGGGGAGTAACCATCAAAGAGGGAGTAAACTGATATGGTGTATGGATTATAAGTTGCACAAATGTTATCAGAAAGGTGAAAGCAAGGACCGAGCATGGGATGGCAAGGATGAGTGGGTGAGAGCAGTGAGGGCGATAATACTCACTCTGTTTGCTCTCAAGCGACTCCTCTCATCCTTATTCTCTTCCATCCTTCATTGCTTCCCTCCTTTCCGCCTTCCTTGCTACCCGCAGCGACTCCTTCCTTTCTCCTCTCCTCTCCTCCAGTGCGGCTGCAAACACTGTGATGCTGTAGCTTCAACCATGCCTGTTCACTGATGGGAGGCAGAAGGGGCGACAAGGAGAGCCATGAGTACACAATGGTAGTGGGTGGATCCGCAGATGCTCAAGCAGGCGAATAGCAAAGGCAGAAACAAAACATTTGAGCACAAACATGGTATGACCAACAACGGAGGATAGGAGTGGAAGATGAGATATGGTGGTCGCGATGAGGCTCACCTGGTGCAGCTGAAACCCCAAATGCTCTTCATTGTGCTGCCCACGTATGCTTCTCCTGCCATTGCTGCTTCAGCCTGGCTGTAGGGAAGCAGGCCATCATAAGGGGAAAGGTAAAAGGGCGGCTGGAGAGGGGGGAGAGGACGTTGCAACTCAGTGGTCAACAAAGAATGACAGATGAGAACCAGTGAGGCACCATTCGACATGAATGGGACTTACCTCTTTGGCATGAATTTCCAAGAAATACTCGTCCTCTACATGATCCCAGTAGGCTGCTGTGCTGCCTTGCTCCTCCCAACCCAATCAGGCTCCTGCACAGACGCGGGAGAGGGACGGTCGAGGGAGCTGGAGGGGAGTGAGGGGGAGAACGGTGGGGGGAACGCAGGTCATTACAAAAAGCAGAAGGGGGTCATCAAGGGATAAACAAGCACAGGGAAGGCGGGAACATGAATCGCATGAAGCGAAGTCAAGGTGTATCAGATTGACTGTACCTAGAGCAGACTTCCTCTCTGCCAGCCAATCTTTTGAGGCGCCTCAAAAGACATGAAGTGAAGTCAAGATGTATCAGATTGACTGCACGTAGAGCAGACTTCCCCACTGCCAGACAATCCGGGCGTATATGTGTGTTACGAATGTGTGAACGGCCATGGGATGGGATACACGTGCTCACATGCATGCATGCAGGGAGCAAGATTCGCTCACCTATGTAACCAGGACCAAGAGACGGGCCAGTACTCTCCTCTGAGGGCCAGTGACCATCCATGCCATTGCCTCTTCCCCTTCCAGCAACCTCCCTCCGCCCAGCACACACAAAGATCAGCGCACACAACAGAGCAACACGCACGCAGGAGAGTGCATCAGTAGCACGAAAGGGAACGGACTCAAAAGAACTCAAATTCAGGACTAAGATTTGCCGCGCGGCGACCTAGACTGATCTGCCCCACGGTAGACCCGCCGAACCACTTACCATACTGCCATGGCGAGGTGCATTCTGAGACGGTTCAGAAGGCTGACCGCCGACACATGCATGACCCGACCCCGTGGTAGGACTGCTGACACGTGCACGGGCCTCAGACAAGGCGGCACGCACACCAGAGCAGCCAACACCACACAGAAACAAACACAGAGGAGAGTTGGTCAGAAGCAGTAGAGAGAACAGACTCCAAAACATCATGATTAATAAGACTTGCCGCGCGGCGACCTAGTCTCCTCGGCCCCCCAAATAGACCCATCCAACCACTTACCGTACTGCCATGGCGAGGTAGGTTCTCAAACGGTTCAGAAGGCTGACCCCTTGGCAGGTCTGCTGATACGTGCATGGGCCTCAAACAAGGTGCCACGCACACCACACCAGAGCAGAGCAGCCAACACAACACATAAACAAGCACAGAGGAGAGTTCGTCAGAAGCAGTAGAGAAAACAGTCTCAAAGGCAAATATTCTGATGAAGACTTGCCGCGCGGCGACCTAGACTGCCGCACCCCCCATTTGATCCGCCCATCCACTTACCACACTGCCAGAGGTGATGCAGGGTTGAGTATTCTAAGACAGCTCAGCAGGCGGATCCCTACTCGCACAGCACCTCCTTGAAACGCACCACCCCTTGGCAGAACTGCTGACGCGTCCATGGGCCTCAGTCAAGGAAGCACGCACACCCGAGCAGCCAACACAACACAACACAGAAACCAGCAGAGAGGAGAGTTCGTCAGAAGCAGCAGAGGAAGCGGACTTGGAAGTAGCAGAATTGATTTCTATGACTTGCCGCACGGCGACCTAGACTGTGCTGACCCCCCCAATAACCAGCCCCACCACTTACCATACTGCAACAGTGAGGGTGAACCTAAAACGGCTCAGAAGGCGGACCCCTGCTCGCACAGCACCTCCCAGGGAAGCACCACTGCTTGGCAGATTGTTGAGGCGTGCATGGGCCGCTGTCAGGGAGGCACGCACACCACATCAGAGCAGCCAACGCAACACACAAACAAGCACAGAGGAGAGTTCGTCAGAAGCAGCAGAGGAAGCGGACTTGGAAGTAGCAGAATTGATTTCTATGACTTGCCGCACGGCGACCTAGACTGTGCTGACCCCCCCAATAACCAGCCCCACCACTTACCATACTGCAACAGTGAGGGTGAACCTAAAACGGCTCAGAAGGCGGACCCCTGCTCGCACAGCACCTCCCAGGGAAGCACCACTGCTTGGCAGATTGTTGAGGCGTGCATGGGCCGCTGTCAGGGAGGCACGCACACCACATCAGAGCAGCCAACGCAACACACAAACAAGCACAGAGGAGAGTTCGTCAGAAGCAGCAGAGGAGACGGGCATGGGAAATACAAATGTTTTCTAAGACTTGCTGCACGGCGACCTGGGACTTCTCTACCCCCCCAATAGACTCGCCCAACCACTTACCACACTGCCTATGGTGAGGCAGATTCTATGACGGCTGAGACGACGAGATCCTTGTCGCAGAGATGCACCACACCAAGTCCCTTGCAGGTTTGTTGACGCGTCCATGGGCCTCAGTCATGGGCACGCACATTACACCAGAGCAGCCAACACACGACACAGAAACAAGGACAGAGGAGAGTTCGTCAGAAGCAGCTGAGGAAACAAACTCGGAAGAAATAAAAGTGCCCTCTAAGACTTGCCACGCGGCAACCTAGACTGTGCTGCCCCCCCAACAAATGCGCCCAACCACTTACCATCCTGTCGTTGCGAGGCAGGTTTGAAGATTCCAAGACGGCTCAGAAGGCGGACTCCCACTCGCACAGCACCCTCCTGAGATGACACTGCATTGAGTCCCTTGGCAAGCCTGCTGACGCATCCATGGGCCTCAGTCAAAGAGGCACGCACATTACACCAGCAGCCAACACAACACAGAAACAAGCACACAAAAAAAAATTGTCAGAAGGAACAGAGGAAATGGACACGGGAAGAAAACAAATCCGATCTCTATGAATTGCCGCGCGGCGACCTAGACTGCTCAATCCCCCCAATGGACCCGCCCAACCACTTACCATCCTGCCGTGGCGGAATTTAAGACTGCTCAAAAGGCTGATTCCCACTCGCACTGCACCTCCCTGAATCGCACCACCCGTTGGCCAAATTGTTGACGCGTCCATGGGCCTCAGTCAAGGAGCAGCCAACACAACACTGAAACAAGAACAGAGGAGAGTTCGTCAGAAGCAGCAGAGGAAACGGACTCGGAAGAAACGAAATTAGATTCTAAGACTTGCCGCACGGTGACCTAGACTGTATTCCCCCTCAAAGATTCGCCCAACCACTTACCATACTGCTGTGGTAGGCGGGTTCTAAGGCGGCTCGGAAGGCGGATCCCTACTCGCACAGCACCCCCCTGAGATGGCACCTCACTGAGTCCCTTGGCAGGCCTGCAGACGCGTCCGTGGGCCTCAGTCAAGGAGGCACGCACACCCGAGCAGAGAACACAACACAAACAAGCACGAAGGAAAGTTCGTCAGAAGCAGCAGAAGAAACGGACTCAGAAGCAAGAGAATTAGATTCTAAGACTTGCCGCACGGCGACCTAGACTGAAATCTCCCCCAAAGATTCGCCCAACCACTTACCATACTTCTGTGAGAGGCGGATGCTAAGGCGACTCAGAAGGCGGATTCCTACTCGCACAGCAGCTTCCTGAGATGTAACCACCTTGAGTCCCTTGGCAGGACTGTTACGCGTCCGTCCGTGGGTCTCGTTCTAAGAAGGCACGCTCACGAGAGCAGCCAACACAACACAGAAACAAACACAGAGGAGAGCTCGTCAGAAGAAGCAGGAAATGGACTCGGACAAAATAGAAAATAGCATCTAAGACTTGCCGCGCGGCGACCTAGACTGTTCTACCCCCCCCAGCAAAACTGCGAGCACGCACCTTCGTATGTCCCTCTGCGCTGCCGTCAGTGAGCTCCGAATCCGCGTCGCCGCTCCCACACACGCCGTTGCTCTCAGGTCGGTCGTTCACCCCTCTATTGACAGTTTCTAGCTACCCTCGTTTCCTTGCAGTCAGTGTCCTCCGAACACGCTCCGCTGCCGTCAGTGTCCTCCGAATCCGCCCCGCGGCCGTCAGTGTCCTCCGAACACGCTCCGCTGCCGTCAGTGTCCTCCAATCCGCGTCGCCGTTCTCATACACACTGCTGCTCGCAGGTCGATCCTTCACCCTCGATTGCCAATGTCTGGCTACCATCGTAGCTCTGCGTCCCGTCGATCTTCTGCATCTTTCGCCGTCTTTCCTCGAATCGTGAACGGCAGTCACTCGGTGAAGCAGCAAAGCGTAGGGAACGGTAGGGAAACCCGGCGAAGGGCAGGAAAACCCCGCGAATGGCATAGAGACCTAACGAACTGAAGCAGAAGATTCCTACGGAAGGCAGCAAAACTCAATAAACGGCAGCGAAGCTCGGCGACGGTAGAGAAAATCGTTGAAACGGCAGAGGAATACCGGGAACACCGACGGTGAAACGACGAACAGCAGCGAAACTCGGATAGCAGTAGGGAAACATGAACATCGGGATGAAAGGTTCCGTAGCGACATAAGACGCCAGCGTGTAGTACGGCATTAAAAAAAAAAAAAAAAACGTCCAGGGACCGCATGCTGAAGGTTGATGATGCACGTCCTAGAAACGCATTAGAAGAGTAGTGAGTCCATTTTGCCGCTTGGAAGTGTTTAGCAAGGTGGTCAATATATCCTGCGTAGAACCGCGTGTTAAGTTTGTTCAGCTATCTCGCATCTTAGAACAACGTACTAACCTTCGAAAGCCCTCCTGCGTTAAACGTCTACGATTATCCTGTCGTCCTCAGGATGGCCTATCCAGAATAAAGAAATCGCGGCTCGAACTCATATTTACCCTAACAAGAAGAAGCGTCCATGCAGGCGGATTATTCTCTACCAGCTAAAGTCGAGCGTAGGAGCTTGCACCATTGGAAGCTGGGCCAACATATGGGATGAAGCTACCAACAATGGGAAGAGGAAGAGGAGGTAGCGAGGGAAAAAAAGCTGGCTGTGTGGTGCTTGAAAGAAGCTTGGAAGGAATCGTCAGCTGGGTGGGGGAAGGGATGGCTCTGTGTCAGAAGAAACGGCACCTCTGACAACCTCGAGTAGATTTGGCGGCGCTTTCGAGGCGCGAAGTGGTGGAACATGAAATAGAAACAGTGAAGAAAGATGTTGGCATAACATAATCACGAGCTGTTTTCCTGGAAGTATAAACATAGTATGTATTATATCAATTTCAACATATTATATTTTTTGAAAGTGTACTTTCTAAAATTTCGTATTGTGAAAGCGAGGACGTGGCCAGCGCAGCAAAGGAAGCGGTGCGACGCTACTCACCCCTCTTTTCGTCTACAAAAGAGGGACGTGAGGCTATTCGCCTCACCCACGTTCTTCATTTCTAATAGTAGTTCTACTTTCCCGTTCTCGTCCAACCTGGCGAAAACTCAATCACTTCCGCGGTTCAAGTCTCCGACGACCCTGCTTACTGACATACTTGAGCACAACCTCGCCAATATGACGCCTGCTACGACGACCCAGAATCGAGACGGTGACAAGTCTTCTACCCCGGCTAATACTTCCGAGCCCGTTCATTCGCCCGGGAGACCCGACCGCCGCGGAAAGCGTCCTGCCGACGACAATGCTGGCGAGGGACCGAGCGCGGTGGACGTGTTACTCGGCGGTAACACCCGAGCGACCCCCGAAGAAGCACGTGCGGCTGCAAAGCAGACGCGCGTGCCCCCTGCTGGAGACCGCGCCGCTGCTGCAGGCCAGGCAGGCTCCACGTCCCAGAAAC